GGGGGGGGGCAGTGACATTCACTTTGAAATGTACTGGTTTCCATGGGCTCTGTCTTAAACCTTTCGTTTAGCTGTGTGAAAGTAAGAACTTGAGTTGTTTTCAAGCCTTAGAGTGTTTTAGAGTTAAGTACCTGTTTTCCTTCATTGTAACTTCAGTAAACATGAAGTGCATGAAGATTTTGAGAAACACAAAGTCTGACAAATCACAAAATAGCAGGCTAGCTTTCTCACGTTGGCAATGTTTTTCTGATGTTTTAGGAAGGTGAGGATTACTCATTTCAACAGTCATTGAAAGCTGGCACCTATTTTTAATTTACATTTATTTTAAAGTACATTATATTAACGATTCACTATCAAAAATACAGCACATTCTTAACTAATAAACATGAGATATGATTATCAACAATGCCTAAAAAGCTGATATAGAATAATCTGAGGATGCAGAGTATATCTATACCTATTCTCCTAAATTAGATTCTCTATAAACCAAATGCCTTTTTGGTGTGCCCCAAAATATGTTAATCTATAGGTGCTCTTTAGTTCTTAATAAGTAAGTTTAATAAATACATGAAACTGAAAATCAGGGCAGGAACAAAGGAAATATTTATTGTTTTCATCCAGGGGTTTAGTCATGCAGTGGTTTCTAGTTCCCAGACATAGATGATAAACTCCATTGCAAACTAACAATTATTGTTACATATAATTTCAATAAAGAAAAACAAAGGTCAACCGTATTAGGTAAGTTCATTTTAATGTCTGAGTGCTAATAAGTGGATTGCATTCTTTCCTTTTCTAGAAACAGTTAAGGAGACTCCCTGGATCCTGGGAACTAAAGGTATGGTATTTCTAAGAGGCCAGATAGAAATACTTCATGAAAATGTGTATGTAGGTGTAGTTGATTCATTACCGTGGCCCCACTTTAACCATCCTGTCAGATCAAATTTCTCTGGGGGAGAAAATGCAGCTCCCACTATATTTTGGTCACGTTAGCGGGCTCGGGGAAATCCAGCTGAGGGGCACACAGGAAAAGGAAGCTCTAGGAGAGGTGAGCTCGGTGATTCGTGCAGGTGGTGGAAGCTTCCCTTGCTCACCAGAAGGCGGATGATTCCTGTGCCTTGGAGGAGGGGTCGAGCCATCGATTAGACACTCGGCCATGGACAAGCGTTGAATTGGTGATAGTGTGGGTGTTTTTATTTTAGCCAGGACTTAAAACAAAGAAAATCCTGTGGAGCGCATTCTACTCGGATCTACTTGATGGCGACCAGCTGATGATGACTATCAATGTATTGTAGCCAGTTGACAGGGTTCAACTATCTAACCTCCATGTTGACCAAGACTGCAAAACATAGCTTCCACAGAGACTGCCTGCCTGCCTGCCTGACCTACTCCAACCTGAGAAAAGAAGATAGCATAAGACTGCTTTAAGGAAATGTATGTACCGCATATACTCAAGTATAAGCCGACCCGAATTTCAGCCGAGGCACCTACTTTTACCACAAAAACTGCATTAAAAAATGTGCTGGAAAACTCGGCTTCTACCCAAGTGTATGCGGTACATTTGAGATAAAGGAATCGGGTGTGATCAAGCAGGATTGTTTTCTGTAAAAATGGTACAGAATACTGAGCCACAGTAGGGCCTCCAAAGTGCTTACTCACAAAGTTCTACGAATCTATACTCTGAATTCTCCTCCCCCAAACTCCATTTCTGATTTTATAAGTAGAAGATGTTACAATGAACTGATTTTCTTGTGCTCCTATATTAATGTTATTTTAGCATTAGCAATACATATGTCACAGCATGCGTTTGCAGAGTTCTTGGCCAGGATGCGGGTTTGGGGTTTTTTTGTTTGTTTTTTAAATGATGTAAGAAGATCATTACGTGGAAGTCATGTAATTCAAGTCTGCCCATAAGGACCTCAAGCAGCTCCCTGCAAGGCTGACAGTGAACCCAGCAGCCTCCAGGGGAGAAAGCTGAGCTAGTGCTGCCTTTGAGTGTGGAGAAGCCCATTGCCATCTAGTCGAGTTCCAACGCCTAGCCTCCCTGCAAGACAGTAACCCTGCCTAGTAACGTGCCCAAGACTGGCAATCACCAGAAGCTCACTACCTGTGACCCTACCTCTTTCCCAGAGTAGCAGGTGGGTTCCAGCCACCACCTTTCTGCCACCGGTCTAAATAGAAAAAGAAGATTTACAGCTGTGGAATGCTATGGGGCTGTTCTGCTCCGACAGGAAGGGTCAGAGGAGTCAGAATCATTTCAGTGGCTCTAGCCTTCATGGGATTTGCCAGGTCTGCCTGCTCGGTTTGTTTTCAGACTTTGAGCTCGTTTGGTGTTTTGTGTGGCTTTTTCGTGCATTGCTGCTTCACTGGCACAGACGACTCTTCTCCCTCTGAGGATAGCTTAAGGGATGTTCGTAAATGCCAACGTGGTGTATTGGTGAGTTAAAAAGAGATGCCAATATTTTACTTGGGGGATGGGCTAACAGAATTGTGCAGTAGTTCTGAAGGGACAGCACAGGCTGGCCTGCTTGGCAGTGTCAAGATTGTACTAGCGGTGGCAAATTTTTAAAAAGGAGTATACCTGGAGAGACAACTTCTATTTGGGCTTGATCTTCAGAAACTCCTTCATGGCTTCCTCTACCATTAGGTACCATCTTGGCTTAAACCTGTCACCAGAAATTCCACTTTTACTCTAAATGTGGCTGTCTTTAGCAATAAGGAATCCTTACCAGGTACTGTGACACACCCATGTAAGAACCCCTCCTCAGTCTGGTTTCACGGCAGTAGCTAAGGGAATTCGATTTCTCTCCTTCCGACTGAATGATTAGCACTGAACCTGGAATGCCTATGTTCCACTTCCTAGCTTTCAGTCATTGTAACGTAGGGATGTTATGCCATTTAGATCTTTGGCTAGCTTCAGGTCCCCAAACGAGCGTTATATATGTTAGCTGCTTTAGACTTGTTTTCTCATCTAGAAAATAAGATTGATATTATTAGTGTAAATACAAACATTTATGACAATTATCTGAGGACATACACTGAAAACATTCCAATAGGAGAATATCAATATCAGTCATAGAACGTTAGGGGAAAATAGTGGAAATGAGAAGGAACTTTAACTAAAGTACAAAGGATTGTTGTGTTTATGTTAAATGGCTGAATCAAATTCCACAACAAATAGCTAAGCCAGATGGCACCCTAGCTTCCAGCTTCTGAGGCATTTCGTTAGCTTATGTATGAGCAGGTCCTACGAAGGAGTTGAGGCTGATACTGGGAGTCCCATCACAAAGCATTTTACTCTGCATTCCTTAACTCCTGATAGTGAAGCTACACTAGCTTGGAAACTGCTTAATCAGGAAAACCACAACCTCCCCAAATGTACCTCCGCGGTGAGGTGATCAAAAGGATCCCGCCCCAGGCCGGCACAGCAGTTCTGAGTGACAAAGCGCGACACATCAGAAAGCTCTCTTCACTTCTGGACATCAGGTGTTGGAATACTTAGAGCAGGATTAAAAACTTTTTAAAGCATGGGACATGTTCTTTCCAGCATCTTTCTCCTAAGACTGGTCTTATTGTGAGGAAATCCCTCATGCCGTTCACCATAGTTCTAATGGGCCTCTTCATATTTTTGGAACCTTCCATTGGCTCTAACTTCTGGTGCCCACCGGTTGGATATGACCCCAGCACCTGAGTGGGTATAAAAGAGCCAATAGCAGTTTTTAGAGCCAGACACTGCCCCTGAGGTTACCTTAGAGAAGCCTGTGCTCCTTCAGAAATGAGTCATGGATAAGAAATTTGAATGGACACTAACAAAAGACTAGCAGTTGGAATGGACGTTTCTTTTTTGGTGGAGAAAGGGAGGGGTAGGGTGGGTTGGGTCAATTATTTTTCATAAAGAACACCTTTTATTTTGTTAGTTGAAAATAAGTTTAAGAATTTAGAATACTATTTCAAAACTGGTTGTCAAATTAAGACTACAAGACACTGATTAAAAACGAGAAAAAAAATTTTAATTACCCAAATGTTGAGGGTATACAGCAGCAAGAACTGTCCTAAACCGAAGTATAAATTTCTCAAAAACTTCAGAAAATGTTTGGCATTATCTACAAAATAGAATGCATGTCTACTTTCATTTCAGCAAATCCTCTTGTGGACATATACCCAACGGAGATGGGTAGCAAGTGAATGCGTAGCAGCAGTATTCACGATAGCCTCAAATGGAAACCAGCCCAGGTCCATCAACAGAATGCATACAATGGGATGCTGGGTAGCAAGGAAATGAACTAACTCTTGTCGCATGTAACAGTATGGGTGAACCTCATGATGCTGAGTGAGAGGAGCTGACCAAGAACAGAAAAAAAGTGTACATTTCCATTCCTGCAAAGTCCAGAAACAAGCAAAAGTTAACTTTGGGCAAGAATAGAGTGGGAAGATAGACACAAAGGAATGCTGATCATCTGTTTTGACCTGGATGGTGCTCACTTTGCACTACCTTTTGGGGCACCACTCATGTTGTTGCAGTTAGGTGCCAACAAGTCCGTTCCAACCCATAGCGACCTTATACAACACAGAATGAAACATTGCCCTGTCCATCACCATCCTCACAATTGTTCCTGTGCATGAGCCCATTGTTGCAGCCAATGTGTCAATCCATCTCCTTGAGGGCCTTCTCCCCCACTGCCCCTCTACTTTACCAAGCATGATGTCCTCCAGGGACTGGTCTCCTGACAACAGGTCCGAAGTACATGAGATGAAGTCACACCATCCTTGCCTCTAAGGGGCACTCTGGCCGTACTTCTTCCTAGAAAAGATCAGTTTGTCTTTAGCAATAGAAAGCAATAGAAAATATCATGGTTTGAGTTGGACACACCTTAGCCCTCAAAGCAACATCCTTGCTTTTCAATACTCCACAAAGATGTCTTATCCAGCTGATTTACTTAATGCAACTTGTCTTTTGATCTCTTAACTTATGCTTCCATGAGCATTGATTGTGAATCCAAACAAGACAACTTCAACATTTTCGCCATTGATCATGATTTTACCTACCTATTGGTCCAATTGTATTTTGGTCTTCACATTGAGTTGTAATCCATACTGAAGGCTGCAATCCTTGATCATCCACAAATGATTCAAGTTCTCTTCCCTTTCAGCAAGCAAGGTTGGGACATCTGCATATCTCAGGTTATTAATAAGCCTCCAATCCTGATGTCACACTCTTCTTCATATAAGCCAGCTTCTCTGATGAGTTGCTCAGCACACAGATTGAATAAGTGTGCATACCACCCTGATGCATAACTTTCCTGATTTTAAACCACACAGTATTCCCTTGTTCTGTTTGCACAACTGCCTTTTGATCTGTGTACAAATTTCCACATAACACAATGAAATGTTCTGGAATTCCCATTCTTCTCAAGGTTATCCAGGCTTTGTTAGGGTCTGCAGAGTTGAATGCCTTGGCATAGTCAATAAAACACAAATGTCTTTCTGGTCTTCTCAGCTTTGAACCAAGATCCATCCAACAGCCGCAGCAATGGCTCTTGTGAATCCAGCCAGAACCTCTGGCAGCCCCTTCCAATGTGCGGCTGCAACCTTTGTTGGATGGTCTTAAGCAAAATTTTACTTGCGGTATTCTTTGTAGTTTGTTTCTTTGCTTTTCTGTCAGTTTTTGTTTCTTGATGAGTAGGCAAGCAGCAGATTTCTGTCTGACAGTTGTGCAGTGTGAGAGACTTGTGATGGCCTGAGGCATTTAAAAGGGAGAGCTCTCTATTCTTCCAAACAAACGTACAGCAGGGAACGTTAGAAAGCACCTGCCTGGGCTCCCACTAAGGTATCTGAGGGCATGCTAATGACAAAGAGGGGAAGGGAAGCGGAAGAGGCTAGAAGAAAAGGGAGATGCTAAATTGAGTTTTGTTTCAGGAACAGGAATAAGTCATAGCACTGAGGGAAACTTGCTCCAGGATGAAAGACTGAGAACCTTAGGGAACATCCTGAGCCCAAAGAGGGGAATCCAGCAGTGGCTCTCCATCTGCCTGTCTGCCAGAGCAGATCTGCCTTCATCAAGGCTGTGTGTCGTGCCTGATAAACTTCCTGGGAAGGAATTCTGCGGGTTAAATGCTGTACAATAACCCGGCATCTTCAGTGAGAGAAAAAACAGAGGTAAGAGTGACCACAGAGTTTTAGGGTTTGAAAAATAGGTGTTCCGAAGGAAGGCGGCACGGCTACTGAAATAAGACACGTGGTAGAAGAAACCCTGCTGATCTGAGAAAGGCTCTTCTGAAGATCCGTGTCTGCCTAGTGGAGGCAGCTGCAATAGAGGGAAGCCTCGAGTTTCTCAGTTCAAGATCTTTCCCCGCATGCCAGTTGTGAAGGTAACAGGCATTTGATGATACGCAGAAGATTTCCCATTTCTTGACAAAATTACTTGAATATAATGACCAGGCTACCAAGATTAACCAAAATTACAAATTAAGAAAAGAAGGCCAGGTGGTGAGTATTGAAATCTGGAAGTACTCGTATAACACAAATGATGGTTGTATGATTTTTAAATGAGATTTACTGTATGACAATATACTCCACAATATTTTTAATGGGATTTATAGTCTCCAACTAAGGTTGAAGACCAAGAAGGAATGGAAGTTTCTTTTGGGGGAGGGGGAGGTAAGGGATGTTAACTTTTTTAAAGAAAGGTTAAAAATTACTATGTGGGTAGAGGTGGGTAATTGATTTTTGGTGAACTGATAATTAAATGTAAGTATAATTTTGAAATCTATCGAGGTAGCTAATAAAATTAATAGAAGATCATCTAGTCCAATCCTAGAAAAAAAAACAAGAGTGCAATGTATAAATGGCAAGCTAAATGAAAAAAACACTACAGAATGGTTTAAATTGTTTATATTAAAAGGTTAAAAGTCTAATATAATTTGGATTTGCTTTTTCTAGGAAACTCACCTTTAAATAAATTTCTATCACATATAACACAAAAAGGGTATCTCAGTGCAACTCGGGACAAAGCACAAGGTCTAATAGGAGCCCTGGGGTGTGAGGATTACACATTGGGCTGCGAGCCAAAAGGTGAGCAGTTTGAAACCACCAGCCACCCTACGGAAGAAAGACAGGACCTTCTACTCCCACAGAGTGACAGTCTCAGAAACCCACAGAGGCAGCCCTGCCCTCTGCTAGCGGGTCACTGTGAGTGGGCATCAGCACTGTGGCGAGTAAGTATAATGGTGATTTTTCTTAAACGTGAAGTCCTAATCTTCACAGCCTTCTTGTCTTAAGATTGATTGTTGGCGTCCTTGCAAAGATACCCCGTACACTCTCAAGCTAAGCACCGAAGGGGTCTCCCTGAACTGCTAGAGGAAAGGAGTAAGTCCCATGCTGGGATGTGCGTGTGAGTCGACCAGGAAAGAGCAGAGAGCAGCCCTCAGAACCTGAAATTTCTCCTGCAATGGTTTTTAAGAGAAGGTATATGAGCTGCTCTTTGACCACCAGGTAGTAAAACCAGAAAATGATAAAAATACAATCATCTGGGAAATAAAGAACAATTCTCTG